CATAAAGTCACCAATCTTAAATGTGTGTTCTTAATTCGAATCTACATAACATTAGAATAACATAAACGTTTTATTTTTGATGCATAAAGATCTCTTGGCGGTTTGCTTATGTTTTATGTATTTCCATTTAAATTTTATTGTTGTTTCGCGAATTCCCGAGCCTCGTCAATTGTGAGGGTAGTTAATAATTAGGTGATTATAAAATTGCATCAACGCGCTATATGTATAGCGGACTGGCCCGTCATAATGAAGTCGTTTATAGTTATCGCCTGCGAAGTATGGTGGCTTAAAGGTGTAAAACGAGAACAATGCAATGGTTTTTTAATCGGCATTAGTGTAATGTATGAAGCACAATGTCTGATGGTGGCTGCACGGGACAAACTATACGTTGATTGATAATAATATTGATAATAATAATAATAATGATAATAATAATAATAATTTTAATAACAATAATAATAATAATAATATTAATAATAACAATTGAAATAAATGATATACATAGAAGTATAGGTTCAAAAATAAAAAAGTGTATACATGTAGATAATATAGCAATCTTCTGCAGTGGTAACAGTGGAGACATAACAAAAATCGCTACAGTCAGTAATTAATGTAGTAATCCGAAATGGACACACGAAAGATTTTAAATTGAAAAAAAAACCCAAGTAAGTGTACTTTTGTCGACTAAGAAAACATCATGATGATCCAATACTCTACTTAAAAGGAAATATCATCAATATATATATATATATATATATATATATATATATATATATATATATATATATATATATATATATATATATATATATATATATATATATATATATATATATATCAATAAAAAAAAGCCAAAAGCAAATTAAGAGTTTGGATACAGGGTGTAAACAATAACTAAATATCTTGAAACTTTTATCATACACAAAATGGGGAGCCAATCCGAAAAGTTTACTTCAAATCTACAAAACCCTCATTCTGCCAAAAATTGACTATGGCTGTATCGTTTATTCATCTTGGAGAAAAAGCTCGATCGTATTCAAAATTTGGGAATTAGATTTTATGTTATATATATGTTCAACAGCGAAATTGAGAAAATTCGCCCTCCTCTGACATGTCAAATGTATTTCAAGATGGCGGCAAGTTTCGGTGGTTTTCTTATTTTATTTCAATAGTCTATATTTAAAATTATGATATTATCATATAAGAACTAAGTATAGTAAGCACTAATTTTACACCCGAGATTACACCCATAAGGAAACATTTACAATTTGGCTTGGGCGTTTTTTTTTTCTAACGGCTCATTTATACAGTTTACGTTGCTTAATTTTGGTAGTGTACTACATGTAATACAATAAACGTAATTGCTAAATATAAAATACCGATGGGAAGTTTGAAATCCCCCACTACTTTATAATAGTATTTTATTCGACATTATAAATTAGAGTTGCTTTATCTAATAACTCTGAATATTCGAAGTATTCTTGATTTTTGCTTAATTTATTTAACAGTACAACTGCTAGTGTAATCTTAAAATATTTTATGACTACTAAAAGTCAGAAAAAATTGGCATTAACCCTAACAAATTAATAATATAGTTTTAAATTTAACAATCTACGTGTCCTTGTGTCCTAAGTGTATTCGTGTCATATGGGAGGTCAAAACTAAGAACTGGTCGTTATAATTTTCCAAGTTTAAGCAGAGCGTGACAAATTGGTACCGCTGCATGGTGATTTTGCGCGTATAAATTGTGTCCACCGGTGCGATTTAAAATTGAAACAATTTTTGGTTGTCGTTTAAGAATTTACACAGAGAAAGCGTTTTATGTACCCAGTTATATTTCATTTTAAATTATTTGCCACACATGGCGTTTTCTAATTCGTGTTTATGGATTCAGACAGGGCGCATCAAATATACCTAAATACTCAAATTTCATAAATGTTGAAAATACATTTTTTTAATAACCAAAGCCGTTATTTTATTAACCACTTTTTGTGATAAATTATTTTTCAAAATTCCTGCTTTTTACAGGGGATTCCCCAAGGGATACCTAAATTTTATTTCTTTATATTTTATTGAAATATGTTCTTTTACTAGATGAGGAAAACGTTTAATATTACAGTCGGGTGTGGGATAATTATCATTTTCTTTTTTGAAGTAATTTAATATATACAATTATTGATGCCTATCAGCGATCGCAGAAAATTAAATTACAAGACCTCCTCATTGGGAAAACAAAATGAAAACAGTAAAATAGATGCCGACGTACCTACTTAACAGGTATAAACAAAAGACCATTTTAACAGAATTCCGTATTAAAGCAGCGAGTCTCAACATTAAGTAAAGCAATTATTATTATGTAATTATAATAAAACTTTCAATCGGACGACGTGAATGAACATTATAGTATCGTGAATGGACTTGAAGGAATTAAAATTTTAAATTTCATCCGAATGAATATTTATCGAGTCATTCCCCCGAAAGAATGCTGCGGTGGTTTCCATTACGCTGTTTTAGATTTACGTCCAGGTCGGTACAGATGTGTGTTAGTAGGCGAACTGGAAGGGGCGAAAATTAATAATATCGAATCACGCGGGCAATAATTTATTTTATGATTTAACAAAAATATTATACACCTGTCACAAGATAATTACTATGTAATTAGTGATATTACTCTAGACAAATAAAGGGTCGAACCACACTCTTTAGGAATAGCTACAACGAAGCATAGTCCAAAATAAACTTTTAGACACACCCAACGAAGCTGTATTATTTTCTTGCAACTTTATTTCTAGAGAGGTTACGTATTTCAAGAAGCAGACAGGAGCGTTCTATAAAAAAAGGATACTTTAACAGAACCACTTTTGTTTCCTTTGTCACTGTAGTACTTCCGAATATTCTGAAGAAACGCAACATGCAAACTAGATTCTCTACTTATCCCAAAATCTTCCACATCTACAATCGGTGAAAGATAAAATTCCTCTCAAGACAGTACAGACAGAGAATACAGATCGAAAAATATCAACTAGATTAAAAGACACGACAAATCAGTCAGACTTCGGCAAATTACGACATCCGCAGCTTCTGCATATCAAAAAATCGAAATCATCAAACACAGGCAGGTATTTAAGATGCGTCCCGAGTAATTGTCCCTCAGTTTGAGATAGCATTCTGAAATCAGCGAATTGGCAATATATAATATAAGACAAATCAAAAAGGAGTTTTTTTACTCCCTTGTGTAAAATTCCTAATTACGCACCGATTTAGGGTGCGGGGAGCGTCACTTTACCAGGTCAGTATCGTTTCCCACGGGTTCGAGCTACTTCGGACATTTCCGGGATTTTACCGCACTAGTTGGAGAGCAATCGGATGTTTTCGGAATTTTGACGTTTGTCAATTCTGACGGTCGTGTCAGGGAATCTATTCGTGTTATTTTGCCCAAAAACTAAAGGTCGTAGAAAAAGTATAGTATGCAACACGTTCGGTAAATTTTTAAGTCACTCGTTTATTAAACGCACGTCCCACTCGTGTCAAATAAACTCGTAAGTTAAATGCCTTTTACCACAGTTGTTGCATAATATACTATTCCACCAAGCTCCACAGCCCGTTGAATTTTCTTTGAAAAAAAAAAACTGCGATCTAATACTAACTAAAATGGAAGAAATATTTCAACACACAAAATCGATAGGTAATGTGAAAAATAGAATCCGATCTGTCAAGCGAAAGTTTAAAGAAAGATAACATGAGTCGGCAAAGTAAAGAAAGGAAGTGTGGAAGTGTCAAAATGTTAATAAAGGAGAACAAGAGCCAAATGGAATTTCGTAACTTCTAGTTTGCATATTGCCTATAAAACTCTGTTAAATTTAACACAACCAACGTTCTAATATTACATCTAGAAGTAGTGTTGACCATCAATTGACCACTTCTTAACTGACAAGTCACAAAATGTTTGCAATTGCAATTCTGGAGTGTTATCGATCATTATTTTGTTTGTTTGTGATGTCCAGTTTATCTATAACCCTCTTCGTCAATTGACACAAAAAAAATTGAGCGGTTAATTCTACAACCTTATCCGGGAGTGAAGTAGAGGGAGTTTGTTTTAGATTGACGTGATGCTGGATCAGAATAAAAAACTAAGAAAATAAATATCCATTTTTAAATTAACGAACTAAACGTTTGAGTATGTTTCTTTTTCAATAAGACAGTCAATTCAATTGAAGTTGGTATTTGAAGCAACTGAAAACAATCTTCCAGGTTTCGTTTAAATATTGCAAGAAATTTTCTCAGAAGAAAAGTGTAATACTAGAACTTGGCCAGTGAAAAAATGTTATATAACCAGCATGAAGACTGGCCTTGGAGTGTTATAATACATTCACAAAATACTTGTTAAATAAATTAAAAAGCAGAGAGCAGTGGTTCACTGCTGATAAGCAGCAACCCGAGACATGCTCCGACAATCCCAGACCCTCCAATTTGAGAATGAAACGGTAAAAATTTACTCTATCAAAATTCTCTCAGAAGTAGGCATATTTTAAGTCTATATGAATGTTGTCCGCCAAAATCTCACCCCCACCAGATTCATTCACCAAATTGGCTGAGATGGAATTTCAAAACAATAGGAATTGCTTTGATAAGGTTTTTGCTGTTGAGTGCAACACTGCGGATTAATTACGTTTGGTTCTTTTGGTAAACAAGGAAAATCACGTACAAGGACTAAACAGCGTTATAACAGCAAAACTTTAAGATAAAAATCTTGCAGACATAAAAAAGTCAATTGCAAAACGTGCGCTATTGCTTGCACTATATGCAGGAATATGACATATAACTTAATCTAATTGACGCTGGTCTGCTTTTTTATAATTACTCCCTCATTAAAGGTGTTTGTTATTTCTGCGTGAATTAATTTCATGCAAAACTGTTGCGCAATACCCCCCGATACTTTCCTTAATTAGTATCGGGAGCTTGCAAGACGCCAGTTCGGTTCAAATTGGCGAAAAATAGGGTTGTGTGCAATATGTGATTGGCTTTCTATAAAAAATGAACTTTGCTAATGTACCTGTGTTGTAACGTCATAAGTTCGCAAAATTTCAAGGGTATCAAATTTTTATGGATATGTGCTATAGTTAATTCTGGAAAACAAAATTGAGGAAAAAATAAGAATGTGACCAAGCAAATGGGAAGGGCATGGGAGACAATAAACCGGAACAAAATCGATTGGAGAACTCATTGACACTGGCAATGCCAGAGAGAGGGTTGCCAACGTTAAAATAATAAAATAATTCTGTTGTGAGGTAAAATGATTTAAAGCTTACAGTCCTAGTTTAACCAATTATATAAAAAAAGACCATCCAATTCGGATAGTCCTTTTTTTTCTATGTAAAAAATAAATTGAAATATTTTGTAAACTGAACTGAGGTGGCTTTTATTTGATGAAAATCCATTTAACAAAACAAATATCAAATGTGATAAAGACACGAAAACAATTGTCAGGTGAATACACATAATTTCGTGAAAATCTAAACTTGTTCTAATTTATTTTGTTAAATATTTCGTTCCTAAACGATGGTGTTAATAAATGGGTGTTTTTTATTTATAATAATTAGGGAGTGGTCACAAATATCCAATTACTTTTTGCAATTTTTGAAAAGTAACAAATCATAAAGTATTCCGAGAATAAAAACAAAAATTACGGTTTTATGTAACAAAAAGTTAATTTTCTATTGAAATGAATACGGTAGATTATATAATAAAATTCTACTATCAGCAGCCTTACAAAATGGAATTTTTCTTATAGCCCTTTAACGTCGTCGATAATTAATAATATTAAAATATATTTATTACCGGCATTAGTTACCCTTAATAATCTGGGTACTTGAAATTCATTTCTGGTATGGACCCTTATACCATCAAATTGTAGGTGCGGAGTTAGAAGGATTTTTAATTTGACATCAACGGCTTCTATTAGCGGCCCAGCTGCCAAAAGCAATAATATATGGAAAAATTTCGATTAGACAAAGGAGTTCGTACATAATATTTTAATGGAGGTGCATAATATAGGTAATATTTCAACATATTTTACTATTTTCCAAGTAATTTTTAGATGAGAGATGTGGGTCGATCATATATTTCCATAGGCGTAACTGCGGATACGGTCAGGGAGTGTAAAAGAGCCAAGCCAGATAGAAGAACCCGCATATTAGTTATCGGATTATAAATAAATTTTAATTAAGAAAAAACTTTTCTACAAGCTGGGCTGCGTCGACACGTTGCGCCCGAAAAAATAGCTCCCATAATTCTCAAGGCACTTGCTCACATTATACACGAGTGTAGTATACCATTTTATACATAATCTATGTAACAATTGAAAGAATTGTGCGAGGATATCGAAACGGAAGCAAAGCCCTACAGATTCTACTCCAAAAATCCCGCTAACGCTATGAGAAAGAGTTGGATAATTTTTACAAAAAAAAAAAAACATCCTTATGAGGTAGCATTTATTTGCATTTTTATATTTTTTAAGCGATAATTATGAAACATAATAAAATTGTTAAAATATTACAAAGCACAAAGGAAAACTACCTCCATGTTCAGTTTTGGTTAGCTCTTTATTAAGACCTTCGGATTTTTGTCTGACATTAAATGGACCGTTGATAGTTTTGGTTAGTTTACGACAGATTGAATTTCAATTCAACTCGTCCCTGGTTGTTCCTTTTTGTCGACATTGACATTGGCACAGGTTGCAGACTACGTACGTCTTGTTCATTTGTTATAAAAAAAACCAAGTGTCCATGTAAATATACAGAATTTTCCATAGTTCCCCTGAAAGTCGGTAAATAATAGAACGTCTGCGCCCCTGTTTATAATGATCAATTATCATTTCCATTTATTTCGTAATTTGCCGGCCCATATGTAGTCAAACCGTTCATTTGTGATAAACGTGCGATATTTTACGGTAGTAATTTCCGCTTTTTAAGAAATAACAAGGTACTTGAGAAATTCTTGCCGGCAAGTTACAATGCCTGCTTTATTTCGTTCGTAATAAGTTTTACGGTAAATAATATCGAACATCAGACTACTGTGGAACATTATGAGGGTACGAGATTATAGGTGAACTCTTTTATGGGGTGCTTTATGTTATATTGCCCACAGTTTTTGCGGCAGTAAAACTCGCATTTGACAAGGTACCTGTCTCGCGCACGCGAAATTGCTGATTTTATAACGATAAAAACAAATGTTATTAATGCGCTTCGGTGTCTTCAAAGTGTTAGTATAATTTATTTAGATAATAGGGGCGATTGGAACGGCTGCCCGCACCGACTACCATCTTTGTTTGCTCAGTAAAGTATCTCAATGTACCGACGTAATAATACGGAAAAAAAATTAATTACAAATTCTTTATTGTTTACTTAATATTATTTTTATATTATCAAATTATATATAATATATTATAAAAATTATAATTAATCTCAATGAGGACTCTGATGGTGAAACAGAATTAAATTTAGACATTTAGAATAAAAATGTAATTATGTACAGATATTCCTAGCTATGAATTTATTATATATATTTAATGTCATTGTTTTTTCTTATTGTAATTTAATAAGATTATATCCATCCAAAGTGCGGAAAAGAGAATTAAGTTCAGTTTTTCTTTTATCGATAATGTCTTTTTAAAGGTACAAAAACGATAACAAATGATGTGCTTTAAAATCAAAGACCAAATGTTCTGAAACATGAAACGTGAATACTTGCAACCAAGGCGTAGGAAACAAATCTCTCCATCTGGCACAAAAGTTTAGATTACTTGAGTGTAAAATAGTTCTAAATAGTTTTAATTGTTTAAAAATTAATACAGCGTTGCAAAGTTTTGAAATTTTACACACTATTTTTGGAAAGAAGATCTTGAGATATGCCACTCTCATATAATGGCAATGGTGTTGGTGTTTAAAACGAAACTAACACTAAAGCTAACCAAAACTAACTAGCATATTGCTTTCTTAATAATATTATTTTTACCCCATGGCTTTATACCGAAATTTTCAGTTTTCCGTGAAAAGGAAGGATAATGGACGTATGTGGAACTACGGCGGGTAATTTCAAAAGTCTTTACAGGAAAAACTCAGCATATATTGGGGATGAAATTATTATAAAATTAAAAATCTCTCTACTCTACCAGGAATAAGGCAATTAACGAGAGACGTAGTTTAACATCCGCATTCAAAATATTTGTACATCGTCGAATTTCTGCAGGAATGTCTTAAAGGAAAGGGCGCACGACATTTTCTGACATGCAAACGAAATGCAGCAGGACGGTCCTCTCGAATTCCAGGAATTCCTAATATCTGTTATAAATGTCCCGTTTTCTGGTGTCTCGCCAGTTTTATTGGGTCTGGTCTATAGCTTGGCCGATGTATTAGATTGGTATCGAGTGGCACGTTTTCGAAGAGTGTAAATCGATATTCGAGAGTTAAGTTTGGAGAGAGAGGAGTTAAAAAATAGCGATGTATTATAACATATTCGCGATTGCATTTTAAATCTTTAAGCCTTGCTTGCGGTTTTACCGATTTAAACCGTTGAATAAACTTACAACAATTTTGGTATCCATATGCCAAGGTATTTGCACCAACTTTTCAAACGATTATTAGTAATTAAATGTGACTATTTACCGGAGCTTCTAAGCAAGAGTCTTTTTATGTTTACCACGACGGGAAATTGTGGTGGCTTTCCTGCTTCATTAATTAATTACGAATTAATTACATACATCTAGTTAATTAATACCGATAACACGTACACACATAAATAATTTGCAATCTTGGAATTTATGTAGTCGAAGAGGTAATGTTCATGTTATACAGTGTCTCCATCAGCACTTTGTGAATTAAACTATGTCGATCCTACGATTATAAAAATGACCATATCTATAACAATCTGTCACACACACATACATCTATAGAAGGAGCCAAGTGAAGCAAAGAAGCGCTGGTATTTGCACCTTTTCATTACGTCATTGTCGGGTCACCCTAGTGGCAAGGCAAATCTTGGGTAGTTTCATTAAAAAAAAAAAATTAACTACATACGACAAAAATAAAAAAACCGTAATTAAGGACTTGTTCAAACTTTACATGGCGTCCAAAGAAACTGTTTATTTTCTTTGATTTTTTGCTTATATTTTGGAGAAAAGTATCGAAGATTTTTGAATACTAGCTTCCTGGATATTTAGTTGATTTAGAAACCAGAGCAAAACCATCAGCCTGGCCAAGATGATCACCAGGTTTGAATCCTTTGGATTATTTCTTGTGAGGTCACTTGAACTGGCTTGAACTGAAAGGAACAAGAAATGGGATATTTGATTTGAATTGAATTTGAATATAGCTCCTTAATAACTGCTCACAGTTTAGTCTTAGTCTTGTAAATGCTCTAAGTTTGTTGAGAATGCAATCAATCATTAATAACAAATTCCAATACAGATTTAAATTCAAATTTGTTGTTATCCAAAACGGCTGCCTTTCACAACAAATACCAAGCGCGCCTTTTGTATATAAAATTGAATGGAAAATAGGTGAGCCTAGTCAAAAATGTCATACAGTGCGACACCAAAAAAATTATGGTTAATTAAATTCAGGGACAACACCGTAAACATTTTAGTTTCTTGTTATCAATATATTATTATCAATTATTGCCATGTTGCTGAACAACAACATAATAAAAAACCTCATGTTCATATGAACTTATCTTGAAATTAGTCAAAGATTGAGTAGTTGAAGTTTGTACAAGTACTTCATGAACGTAATGTTTTGTTTTGATAGGTACATAACAAAATTGACAAATAATACAGAATACGCAATAATCTATAAGGAAGTCAGGTACATTTTTTAATTATTTATTTTTTATGCACATTTTTTTTTAACTTATGGAGTTATACTTATTACTTACGTTACTTTATGAACAAAGTGTAGAAATAATGTTAGAAGGAAGTATGAAGAAGTTGCTATAGTTTATTATCATTTTAATTATCCATAAATTAATTCCCTGAATGGGTCATTGACTGTGGTATAGAAGTTAAAATATCTTGTTGCGAAAATGATTAATTTTTATGAAAACCATTTTTGTCGCATTGGTCTGGCTCTACGATATCAATTTGTCTCATTTTTGTGTTACGTAGAATTTAATAACCAATATTTAGGTGCAATTCGACATTCCACAAATTTATCAAGTCCTAGACAGCAAAAACAAACAGTCAATTTTGTCGGGTACGTATTTATTTAATTGTCCTTAAAAAGCCCGTAATTTAACGAACTCCGAACGTAATTGCGTTGATTACTTTCCCGTTGCCATACGAGTGACGAAAGGTGTTCGTTCCATAGCCTTTTTGCGGCATCTGTCAATAATCGTAATTAATCCACTAAGTTTTTATTATAACGACCTCTTAGGACGTTACGGAAATCGCGATTTCTATCAGCTAAATCCCCCTTCAATTTTTTCGAGTTAATAACAATAATTAATTTTTTTTTCATTTTAATTTGTTCTACCGAAACGCCAATTACACGGGGGTCTTCTGCCGCGTTCGTTATGGACCATAAAACGTCCCTAATGAGGAAATATGTTTGGTTGTCTTGCTTTCGGGAAATAATTAATTACCTACAACGCGAGGTTTGATTTTAATTGGATATTTTGCTGTGAAAATATACCGGCAATATATTCTTATTTGGAAATACATCTCAAAATGACATCCCTACTGCTCATTGGCAGTTGTTAACGGTCTTCAATGATTATATCGACGAAAAGATCTTCAATCTTTCTTTACACACTAACGCACTATCTGCTAACGCTAAAGTTAAAAAAAAATTAAAATGATGGGGTAGTTATATCAAAATTTAAAAAAACAAATTTAAAACCAGTATTTTGTACCATTGAAATGGTTTAATTCAATTTTGTAAAGAAAACAATATCCATTACGGTGCAGCATGCCCAGAGATAAGTCTAGTCATAGACAAGACATCCAAAACATGTTTTTTTAACTCATTTTTTTGTATGTTAATATAATATTTCATTATACCGTCTATTAGAGCAATACTTATAGTATAACGTCATATTTTACATGCAAATTATATGCTTAATTCCTACTTTTCAAACGTTTTCACCATTGGCAAGATATTTTCAGTGATTGATAGAGCCAGGATTACTAATTAGGAAGAATAATGAAACTAGCTTTACTTTATATTTTGGAAGTTAATTAGATATCGTTACCGTCCAATCTTCTTAATTAGAGTTACATTTTATGGTTGTGGGTTTGAGATTAATTTGACTCCAGTCTCAATTATGGCTGAAGAAAAGGTACGTCGTTTAATTGAAATGGTCCAACTAGTTGGTACTACTTAAGAGCACAGGTGATGAGAATTTTGGCCTGGCATTTTGCCGGATAAAAACTAAATTGTTATTATTGTTAAAAATTAATTAAAATAAACAGTTATTATCATGTTGTTCATAAAGCTAAACCAAAAGCGGATTTTTGAATATCTGTGTTTAAATATATCGAATATATTCGGATATATTTAGTGTTGGGACTTATCAATTGACCCCTTCTTCATTGACTAATCAATAACCTTTTTTTTTTCAAATAAATTTACGTATTGCAATTTACTCAATATTCACCGGAACTATCAAGGATTATACAGACATAGAAAACCATGCTTGTATACGTGGTTGCATAGGAAAATCCTAAAAACATAAAATAAAAAATCGATGTCAGTATTTAAAAAAAGTTGTTAGTAACGGACAGAAAAAAAAATTGAACAAAATTGGAAAGTACCGTACGACAGAGGGGAAAAATTAAAATAAACTTTTCAAATTTTGTATGCTGCTTTACACAATTTAGGCTCTTTTCACGCATCATCAACAGTTATTCAAATTGCGGTTTAAATTATATCGCGAGAAGCTATGTTTTGAAAAATAAAATGAAGAAAGCTGAATGTTTAAAATAATTGACATAGCTGCCTTAGGAACATCAGGGATAGAATTCATATTTCCCAGTATTAGATATATAAGAATTCTAACCCATTCACATTTTTTTAAAAAAATAGTATATTATGCAACAAGAGTGGTAAACAGCATTTGAGCCACGAGTTTGTTTGGTTATGGAGCGAATGCTTAATAATAATGAATAAATAGGATATTTTCAGAGATATTATCGCACGGTTTGAATTTTAACGTTTGACTATTACCGAAGTTGGAACCGAATGTGCTTGACTAGAAACATTAAACCTCATATCTTTGAGCCAGCACTGTACAGAAATTACTATTTCACCAGTAACTTACGAATAAGTTAGCCATACTCCTATAATTTCTCAAAAG